GCGCGGCGGCGGCCGGCGCGCGGCGGGCGCAAAGACTGCTGGGCGTGGCGGGCTTGACGTCCCTGTAGCGCGAGGTGTGCTGCGTGTGGAGTGCCGGCTCCTGCTCAGATGCTTCGCTCGAGCGGTTCGATCTGGATCTGGCACCTCGGTGCTCCGTTCTGGTTGCTGCTCCTTGCGATGCAGGTGGTTGCTGCGGTGGTGGTGGCCGCGACGGTGCTGCGGTGGTGGTTGGCGGCTACGGCCAGGGGGTGGTGCGTATCTGGGCGCGGTGGATCGTGGGATCCCGCGGTCAGAGTGAGGTCGACCTCGGCTGGGATGGTGGAGCGTGGGCGGCGGTCGGTGGCGATTGATGGTGGCACAACTCTGGGAGAAATCCTTGTTCCGATCTTCATCGGAGCCGGCGACGGCGGCGCCCGCGGGTGTCGTTACCTTTCTTGAAAGCGTCGTCTTGGAGCTGTGCTCCTCCTCTCCACGGCATTGGCTCCGGAGGGAAACCTCAGATCAGCTGGATCGGGAGATGGGGGCGTCTTCGCGTCTTTCTCCTCCTTGGGGGCATCGTCTCGGAGCCGGCTACGACTGGAGACCGGTGGATGGCGGCATCTTCGCTGCGTGGCTTGCTGAGGTGGGGCGTTGGTTTCTGTTTTGGCAACGATGATGGCGTTGAGAGGAGCTCGGGTCGCAGCATGGACTTCGGTAGTCGGTTCTTCCCGGCGTGTCTGAGGTGCCCTTCCGTTATGGAGGGCACGCTCGGCGCAAGTCCTGCATATTTCCCTTTCGAAGCTCGTCGTCAAAGTCGGAGCTGACGGTTGCTTGCGCGTGTGGCCATCTGTTGGCATGTGCCGTCGTGGCTTCGGCGGCTGTTTGCGGGTTGACTTCGATGGTGGAGCTCTACGGTGAAGTCGGAGTCGCCCGTTCGAGGCAACCGGTGATGACGATGACGCTTGCGACTCCTCGGCGGATGTCTTTCTTCTTTGTAGCCCCGAGTTTCTTGTCGGTGGCCAGGTTGGCCGGTGGTGCCCATGTCATATGGGTTGAGTTGTATCGGTTTTAGCCCGGTTTTCCGTCAATTAACGGGGCAATTCTCTTCTTCTTAATCAATGAAATGGCAAGTCTTTTGCCTCGTTTCAAAAAAAATATGAAAGAAGCACATAAAGTCACTCACATAGCGAATACATGATCATTACTGATGACATAAACCATATCTTTCTCCATATAACGAATACATGATCATTACCGATGACCTAAAACATATCTTTCTCCAGATGGCGAATTAAGCAACCAAACATGAATTGGTCACCTAATTTATTGCACAACTTTTTGTTGACAACATTCATAGCCGAAAAATCATCTCGGCACCAATGATGTGGTGACTCGCTAGCTTTTTTAAGTTCATAGACCAAAGGAGAGATTGTTCTAGATTAAATCTTGGGTCTGTCTAAGGCACACCTAAGTGTCTCAATCAAACTAGAAAGAGTAAGAAAAAAAACTAATGAAAATTCTTGTACGAATCTTCATGTAAATTCAATGGCATAGGATTTAGATGTGCAATACTTAGAGCACATCTAGATCTGCTTTAGCAAAACAGTTAAATCTTTGTGGAGCATCTCCAAACCCTACATGGATAACCAAAATAAGGCGGCGGCATATGATGTCCCTGGTCAAATATCTTCGCCTAATTTAATGTTACTTCTTAGCGGCTGCCGGAATGGTGCTGCACGATTATCAAGGACAGATCATCTTTGCAGCTTACAGAGTCCTGTTCCACTGTAACGACGCGCTGGAGGCTGAACTTCACGCACTCATGCAGGGTATGGCTGAACTTCACACACTCATGCAGGGTATGGCCTTGGCCATCCAACACTTGGAGTCCTCAGTCGTCGTTCAGTCCGATTCTTCTGAAGCCTTGGCAAGTCTCTCTAGCGATGCTCTAACTCGCTCGGCTTACGGTCATTTGGTTCTAGAGATTAAGGAGTTGATGAGTAATATGGAGTTTGTACCTCTGAAAATTTGTCGTTCTCAGAATAGAGTTGCAGATCGTTTGGCCAACTATAGCCGTTCCGAGCGAACTACAGCGGTGTGGTTGCGCTCGGTTCCACCTTGTATTGAGGATTTGTGGCCTCTCGACTGTAACACTATGACATCTTGAATAAAACTCCCTTTACTCCGCAAAAAAAAAGTTACTTCTTAGGATTTTGTTGTGTACTCCAAAATTCCCTTCAGATCTGTATTAAAAGCGGGTCATCTAAATTAATTCTCTTTTAATAGAAGGCTTTGGGAAACTACGTGCACTTTGCCTAACGGGTCGCTTTGCCAAACTGCCAGCCCCGTTAATCTCAATTCGGTGATTAGTTTAATTTTGAGAATTACAATTCTATAGCCTAGATAGGTCAAACTTCAGGGAACAATCAATTAGGAAAATAATTAGGGCAAATGACATGACCGTATTAGGCTACTAGGATTGAGGGAGAAGATGTAGGGATATGATACCTTGAACTTGGACTGTCATTGACTTCCGTTTCGGCTTGCCGCTTCGCGCTGGGGATCAAGAGACTAGAACGGGACGGCGGAACATTAGAGACGAGAGAGATGAGAGTCTCTCCGATGGAGAGGTCAGAGATCGAGTCAATTCTGGAGGTGTGCGGCCTGCCGTGTTGCCTTCTTTTTAAGAGAGAGAATTCTGTTGCGTTACCTGCGTACATGCACGAGTCAGTCCGGATCCTGGGCATCACGTTAAAAATTAATGGACCAAAAGGCGCCTGTTTCTGCTTTTGTAACTAGCGTTGGGTTCAACCATAATTTTCTGTTGGGTTCATCCATTCGATCAGGACATATACAGTACGTAGCGGCCATAATTCGTTGGGTTCACCTGAACCCAACGGCCATACGCTGGCTCCGCCACTGAACAGGACATGCCGATATGGTGAGAGAGGTGTGGAGTACACCTATTATTCTCCTTATCCTGTCCGTTTATTTCCGTATTTTTTGTTTATTTCTATTTTCAAGTGAGAATGCTCCTTTTTTTCCGTCCTATTTAATTATTTAGCGACAATACTACACCTACGAAACCATTACGAAACCACCCTAAACCCAATAAGAAGACCCCACCTAATCCATCACCCTAAACCCAATACTACACCTACGAAACCATCTACGTTAATCCATACAACGAATTACGTATTACGTATGTATAGCAGTGTTCTTTATTTAACCATGTACATGTTCTTAAAACCTGTCTCTTTCAATATACTTGATGTCTTTCTTGCGTAAAAAATGGCACCTATATCACTCCAACTCCCAACCCCCACTAGCCAACTCCCAACCGTTCTGATCATATTAACTAGGCTGTCAACAGTTCTACGCTAATATACTTGATGTCTTTCTTTCAATATACTTGATGTCTTTCTTGCGCCATCAACAGTTCTACGTACACAGCGAAAGGACAGCAAATACTCAAAGCACCATAGTAAATCATAGGTTGAACATGGATCAAGCAAGACACAGAGAAAACACCGGCAAAATGGTGACATTCACCACATTGGACGTATGCGGAGTTCTGCCACATGGCGCCCGACATTGCACGCCTTTGCCGAGTGGCACCCAACAAACCTTTTCTTTTCTTTTCTTTTCTTTTCCCTCTCCTTTTTTCTTCTTCATTTATCTTGTACAATATTTGTTTTCTTTTTTCATTTTATGCTTTGTTCTTTTCTACAGTATTTGTTTGCCCCTTCTCTTTTCTTTTCTTTATCCTA